GGCTGGCTTCAAATCTCTCTCCTCCGATAACAGCCTCCTTCCTTGGTAGCTAGGATTACAGGTGTGAGCCACTGTGGTGCTCAGATTGTTTTTCAAACATTTTTAACCATAAGCACTCATAAAATAAAATTCTGAATTATAAACCAATGCACAAAATAAAAGTAACCAAAAAAGTAGAAAGTATATTTAAAAAGAACACATTAGTTTTAAAATAGCCAATCATTTCAATTACAGACATCAATCTAAATAGCTCCAAAATCTTAAAAAAAACATTTAATACAGCACAGAAGGATTCATTATAAGAAAATATTAAAAGATGAGTTCAAGTGGTAAACCAACAGTCTATGCAGTCAGACTGTAAGGAAAAGCATTGTATCTGATGCCCAATAAAATATCATCACATGGAATCAAGAAAAATTTTATACTGCTAAAAAACACAATACATTAATTCTGGCCTGACCTGTTTTTTTTTTTTTGATAACAGACATAAAATAACTGTTAAGGAGAAAGAAAATAAAAGCGTAGTCAAAAAATTACTTCATCTAATGATGACATAATAAACACAATTGCTACAAACTTTTTGAAGATCACTGTTTCAAGTATCAAACATTTGTTTTGTGGCCTGTTTGTCCAGGCACTGGCGGTTCAAGCCTATAATCCTAGTTATTCAGGAGGCTGAGATCTAAGCAGGAAAGTCCACACAACTCTCAGATCTAATTAACTAGAAAAGGCCAGAAGCAGAGCTGTGGCTCAAGTGGTAGAGTGCCAACCTTGAGCAAAAAAGCCAAGTGAGAGTGTGAAGCCTTGAGTTTGAGCCTCCATTACTGACACACTGGTGCACACGCATCCACTTTGGTGAACTGTCTGATCAATTGCAAGAAAAGCATAAATCACAAGCTTCAAAATGAACTATGCAACTTGCGGGCAGGGACAGGAGGGGTAACACGGGGGAAAGTGAAGGAAGGGGCGGCATTGTCCAAGAACAATTGTACTTATTATCTGCCTTATGGAATTATAAATTGTAACCCCTCTGTATAACTTCTTAAAATTCTATTTTAAAAAACAAGCTTCAGCACCACCATTTTTAAGAAATATTAAGATGGAGCTACTAGGGGAAGATCTCAAATCAAGGCAGCAGGCAAACCTAGGGAGACTCAAAAGATAGAAAGTCTAGAAATACAGCTAGAGGGGTAGAGCACTTGCCTAGCCAAGTTGACTGAACCCAAATCCCTGGGTTCAATCTCCAATACCAAGAAGAAAAAGAACAAAGAGAAACTAGTAGGTTTGACATATACACATATGAAGTTATATGTGCAATAAATTCCAGTGCACCAAAGTTAATAATAAAGGGTAAATTTATAGTCTTAAATAGTTTTTCTCCTTAGGAAAGAAAATATATTACAAGTTTGACTTCATTTTCCACAAAAAGGCAAGATACTGAATAAAGGTAAAAGGATAAGCATACCAATCTGTCACAAGGTACTGTTTACTCCTTAGCCAGACAATCAAGAGACCTTTGACCATCTCAGCCAAAAATGGAAACTGAAGTGAGGAAGCAGGCCTTCTTCAGCCTGCAGGCCCCACCTACCAATAGGACACCTGAGCATGGTTTTCCCACAGTCTCAACGTCTGCCAGGTGAGAACTCACACAGGACTGCCTCGGAGCCTGGGAATGCAGCCTCCACCTGCAGCGGCCAGTCCTCCGTGGCCCAGAAATGACCTTTCCAACCCCCAGGCCAGCGGCCACAAGAGCTTGCCTGGACCCTCCACCTCCTAGGTTGAAAAGACATCAGAACAGCACTTGAAAGGCAGTTCCTAAGACACCTTACCCAGGGCAGGGCAGGGCAGGCAGGGCAGGCAGGGCAGGGCAGGGCAGCAAGCCTCCCTCCCCTCGAAAGCCAATAACCCTCAGGATCCTCAGGCCATAGGAAGTCTAATCTAAAAACAGCCTCCGGCTTCCAATTCCAGGTGTTCTCTCTACCACCCCATAATACCTTTAACCCCCTGTGAATGCTGCACCAGGGAAGATGCCAAGAACAAGACACACAGGGTAGTAAATTACAGTGAAAACTGAGGTCTGAGGCATATACACAAAGAGCATGTTCCTGTGCCAACCCAGACAAAAATGGTAGGTGCAGGGAAAGAAGGTGTTGTTGTTGTTGCTGTTGTTGTTGTTGTTTGAGGGGAGGGGGACTTATATCCTAAGAACTTGAATTCTTCAACAGAAAAGATCATCTAAAGCTGAGTATGGTAGCTCATGCCTAAAATTCAAAACTGGAAGCTGAGAAAGGTAAATCAAGAGTTCCAGACCAGCCTAAGCTAAGTTAGACTCTGCCTCAAAAATAAGCAAAAGAAAAAAAATAAAGGGCAAGCTAATCCAAAAATATACAAGTTGGCTGACTGTGAAGGGCACTGCAATGCTTGCATTTATCGTCAGCATTTATTAGTGTGGGTGTCAAGTGCTAGCAACAATGTAAGAGTTTTACATAGTAAACTCATGAAAACAAGAACCAGATGTCCGGATGGCTCTGGAATATGCACCCCAGCGGTGATAGTCAAACCTCAAGAGCAAGCAGACACATCCATAGAAAAGTAGATTCTTGTCTTTATATATATATATATATATATATATCAAATTAAAACAGGTAAATGGCAGTGTATCGGTAATTCAAATAGAAACTTCTGTATTTCTGGATACATGGGATAAATATCGCATGTATTATAAATTTATTGTAACTCTTAGAGGGTTGAATGACAGTTCATTAAATCTAATGTTCCAGGATGGACTGTGACCACTTTGAGATCTAATTAATCTAACTAGTAAGCAAGGGAATGACATTAATTCTGTTTGTGTACAACAACTTAGGCCTAAGGGTTACATGGAAAGAGAATATTCTCTCTATCTTATTTAGTCAAAGAAAAAGCTTGAGTGCCGAACTGGACCTTGGGAGCTCTCTTGCCAGTAAATACAGTCCTGGCAGTTTAGCTTCAGAGCAAAATCATTTATTAAATAAGATTATTTTTACTTCATTGTATTTACCTTGTAAATTGTTTCTTATCTCTAAGCAATATTATAATAAATAACTAAAATTAAATATGGGAGTGGGAGAGATGGCATATGGAGCTGCAATCCTCAATTTCTTCAGTCCTACATCCTAAAGTAAGAAAAGTAAGCCAAGAACGATTCCTTACTTTAGGGGGAAAAGCTCTTGTTATGCAACTGTGTGTAGTGTGGCCTCACTGGGAGACCGTCTGATGGACTGGAGTAGAGTACTGCTGGTCTGGGCAAAACTCGGGGCCTCACGCTTGCTACCAAGTCCTCCAGGCACACAAGCTTGCCCTCAGCATTAGGCATAGACATTTAAGACAGGACATCTGCATTTAGATTCTGTTCTACATCTACAAATAATTAAACTATTTACTTCACCATGAATCTACCACCAACCCTCCATCTAGACTTTATGAGTCTGTACAGATTGGGAAGAAACCTGTGGACTGCTTTTATGATTCATTTGATCTTATAGAGAACACTCAAACGAAGGCCACAGTACATAGTGATGATGAAAAAAGAATTTAGTTTTATTGAGAGCTAAGAACTGAAGGAAAACATGAATAATTCTTATCTTCTATTTTCACTCAAAGAACACAAATACTTTATGCTTCTGTTTTTGTATAGAAGTCCTAAAATCTGTTGTACCTACTACACACACTCTGCCTAAGTAGGTACAGTTGTCAGTCAACACATAGGACTACAGAGTGTAAACCTACAGTCTGTGTAAATTCCTGAGGAGGCTTACGCAGTGACTAGCGTGGTATAACTCAGAATCCTAAAGAGATAAAAGCAGGAAAGGAGGAGAAAACACGGACTAAAACAACTAACCCAGAAAAACTCAAAGTAGCTACAAACTAATCTTAAAAAGTGTCCTACACCAAATAAAAAGTCTGGTATCCTAAGCAAAACAAACAAACAAACAAAACAACTCAATAGATCTTGGACATACTCAAAATGAGAACCGGGTGTGGGAGTGCAGGGCTGTATTCAGCAGTGAAAAAGCAGAGATGTGAGGGTGGAGAGTTCCAAGACAACCTGAATGAGACCCCACCCCCAAAACTCCAACAGTATCTAAAAAAATAAATGTCAGTCAATACCACTTATTTAAAACTATCACAGGCAGAGAAAACCCAAAAACTACAGAGTTGATTCCAAATATTTTATATATAAATATATAAGTATATATTCACATAGGGTTATATACAAATACAGTAATAAGAAATTTAAAACATAAGCAAAACACAATGCCTTTTACTTTTAATTTATAAATTAACATACTTCTTTAAAACATCTACTTTTCAGTTTCATCTATTTTTCAGATACCATCTATTTCAGAGGACTTTGAGGGGGATAGCTTGGTAAGTAATTCAAAACTAATTTCTCTCACAAAACATAATACAAGTGTTAGTTTCATAATAGTCTCAAAGCAACACAAATGTTCACCAAGTGATTTAATTAAAAAATTGAAGTATTCCCACCACTCAGTAACAAAAATGAATGACAGCATGCACAACAGGGGTAAATCTCAAAACAATCACCTCGAGTCAAAAAAGTCCTATTAAAAAACACAGCATACAGCAGTAGGACAACATTCATACAGATTTCTAGAACATAAATACTAATGATGTATAGTGAGAAATGGGCAGACTACTTGGGGGAAACCAGAAAAGGATGTGAACAGCCAACAGTAGATCTCCAAGGGGCACTACGGTATTTGTGCAGGTGCTGACAACATTCGTTATATTGGAGATAGGATGGTTTCATGGGTGCAGACATGTGTCTACTTAAGACTTGAAATGTGTGCAGTTTGTTGTATATTAATTATACATCAATAAAGCTCTTTCTTAAGCCAATAATAATGTGTAGATTTGACTAGATATCCAATTTGTCTGCTCTCTACATAAAACATACAGAGGATATTTTTCTTAAAAAAAAATAAACAACTTACTTTGCATTTCCAGCCATTGGTTGGTACTGCTTTCATAACTGGTTGAAGACAAAAAGTATGATACCCTTTGTCACATGTGTCACACACTAGCATCTTGCTATCTTCTCCCGATTGTCTAAAAAATAAGATAGCATTAATGATGCCTTATTTTAAACTTATGTTTTGTAACATAAGTAATCATGAAAAGAATCAGTCCTAGAACTGCACAATCTATAAATACCTCAGAATCTGCTTTGTTACTATATAGACAGTGATAGAGGTAAACCCTTACCACGGATCCTTCCTAAAGGGTGATCCTTAAAGCCTACCTCGGGTTGGTTTACTTCAGTCATTTTAGGATTCTGAAATAGGAGGAGGGATTAAAAGCAAGATGAACAACCTCTCATCTTTTTTAAAAATTTGACACCTATCTTTCTAGGGAGATACAACTGTCAGGTGATTCTATGGAAGAGTCAAGTGGAAAAACATTGTCATGTAAGGAAAGAGATCCAATTTGGCATCAGAGCTATTTGTATTCATACTACTAGTTCCTTGCTGTGAGACTCTTGGACTTAAGCAGAATTTTAGGTACAAAATGGATATAATGATCAAAGATTACTGTGAGAACTAAATATAATGCTATTTCAATAACTTAGAACATCTACTGAATAGCAAATGCTAAATAATATGCATTAAGCAAATTAACCTTGTAAATATTATATTTGAAAACCTAAAACATTTTAAAACATTCTTTTGCCTCAAAGATGGAACCTGTTTCTCACAGCACAATCTCTGTCTTGAGTCTTGGCAATTAATATATCTCAGATACTAAATATTTAATTCAAGAGGTAGGGAAAAGAAAAAACTGGGGAATACAAGAAGATAAATAAACAAATCAAATCTGAGGACAAATAAGTAAATAAGAATGCAGAGCTGATGGATCTACAGTTTTTTTTCTCAATTGAACAAATTCTGCATAAAAAGCTGCATGTTTTATCTCTACATCACCTACATAGAAAGAATTTGGGACCAAGGATTCTCTTCGAGTTTGCTTATTCTTTCCAAAGGAACTGAATGCAGGTACAAGTTATCAATTAAATATTTACTGATGTGTTATTTAATATTTATCAAAATATGAAGGCCAGCGGTCTGATTTATTTCTTCTAACTCCAAGAAACTGGTGCTGACTGTTCTCAATGAAATAACCAATAAATGGACTGATCATACCAATGTAAGGCACTAATTACCCTGGTTACAAAAATTTTCAGCCTCTAAACTGAAGATTGCTGAAGATGCTAGTAATACCCCCAAATTATTGTGCTAATTAGATTCGTGGGATAGGGATCAGAGCAAGAGTGGAGAAATAACCAAGGGATGACATATAACTAATATGAAAAGATAGCTCCATTTCAAATGTTTAAGCATCACCTGTTCTTTTTAGAACTACGATGACTAGAGTCTACTGAGAATAGATTCTAGCAATTAGACAAATACAAAGATTTTATTAAAACTATTGCCTTAGCTAGGAGCCGGTGGCTCGGGCCTGTAAATCCTAGCTACTCAGGAGGCTGAGACCTGAAGATCACAGTTTGAAGCCAGCCCAGGCAGACAAGTCCCTGAGACTCTTATCTCTAATAAACTACTCAGAAAAGCTGGAAGTGATGCGGTGGCTCAAGTGGTAATGCACTAGTCTTGAGCACAAAGAGCTCAGGCCCAGAGTTCAAGCCCCAGAACTAGTAAAACAAAACAAAACACACAACGGTTCTCTTACGAGAAATTATCCTTCCTGGTAGAAAAATGTAAACACATCACTGATTTTGGGGGGGGAGGGGCTTAACTCTAGTAACTTGATTTCTGTAATTACTATTCTCCTTCCTATTAAATCTCCTCCTATGCTCCCTGCTAAGAAAAGTTGCTTTATTCTTCTAATGCTTATATAAATTAATATCACTTCTTTACAATGTGGGCACATTTAGTTATGTCTCAAAATAGTCATTATTTTTCACGGTAATATGTTAATTAATAGTTTAAGGCATGATAAAGATAGCCTGAATGACTATAGCTGCAACAGGAACAACTTTTAGCATACGATATAAATCTTTAGCACCTAATAGAGTCCCTCTTAAACTCAGTACACATCTTGGAGATGAAGTTAAACTTACTTGCAGTTCTGGCACACTTTGCACTCAGGACACTGCCAACCTGCACGTTTTAATGGAGTGACCACTATGTCCAGGCACATTCCATGATAGTGCTGACCACAAGTAGTACAAAAGAACTGATCTAAGAGGTCTCCAGGGCTGTCGCACACTGCACAGTTTGCATCTTCCTTTGCTATAATTAACAGCAAAACAATGAAATTTTGTATAAGAATTTGATATTTTTCTATTTGGCAGTTTAAAGTCACTTGCAGGGAATTTGCATGGTAAATTTTTCAGGCGTTTAAAGTTAACCACATTGAACTGACATCCAATCCAAGCGAGGTCTCAATAAAACCATTTTCATGAATTTAATCTAAATTTAACATTAAACTTACTTATGAAGGCTTTGTGATTATTTCGCTTATATCTACTTGAGACCGCAAACAGTTTTTATTTAATTTTATGTCCCTGATACCAATGAAAATGCTAGTATATAAAGTATATGCATAGTACACACTAGAAAGAACTGAACAAAAGGAAAAAGATTAAATGAGAGACATTTATAGTATAACAATATTTTATTTATATTAAATATATTTGGAAATATACAAAAGCAAATAAGAGACAAAATTAGAAAATGCTATTAAAATGCTTTTCAATCATAAAACCTTCTTAAAACTACATATCTTATGAAGAATATTAAATATGGAATGTATGTATTCATGTGTGAATACTTCATATACTAGTTCTATACTTTTATATTGATTTCCAGTTGTAAAAACACTAAAATCCACGTATTTACAGACAGTATCTATCACTAAATATAGCTTAAAAGAAAGGGCAACAATAAAAACAGTTCTACAATAAAAAAATGTAATGATCAATTGCCTTGGCCAATGCACAGTTAAGCTTTACAATATAAGAAAACCAGTAGATTTTAAAGTCATACTAATTTTAGAAAATATAAACATGTCTATATTGTTTTAAAAAAACAAATTACACAGTTTTTTTCCTTTTGTTGGTTTGGTTGGTCTCACCTATTTCTGCTTTTCCCCAGTTAAACATATCATCTGTTCTTTTTTTTTTTTTAACTTATACCATAAGTCAGCTAGCAGTCTCTCAAATAGAGTCTTTTTATTTACAATCCTGTAAAAATGTAAACACCATTCCTATGTTAGGGTCAGTACATGAATATGTCCTGGAATTTGGACTGCAAGCTAGACCTCTGACTTAGATAAGGCTTCGAAGTTCAGCTTAGCACCCACCCACCACATGAAGGTGTGTTCATGGAGCTACCAATAAACAGTATGGGATCCATCGGTTATCCTTGAGACCTTGCCTTACTGGCAGCACTTACACGTTAGTAGCCTTGGTCACATTTAAATCCACTCTTCTTAGCAACTTTCTCCTGAGGTTTCCTATAGCTTTATTATGTCCTCTTTTTTTTTCTTTTCACTTCTATAAGTCCTGGAAATGATAGTACCTTCTCTAATTTCCCATGGTTTCCTATAATCATCACAAAATTAAACTAAAAAGATCAGTAGCAGTAAAACACCCTCTTCCTCTTTTAACAGTTTATCATTGTTGATTGATACTGCCTAACCCTACATGTTCTACATAACACCAGTTCTTCTATCTTAAAACTATGCATTATTGTTTCTTCTGGTTTGACAGTCCATCATAACTTGTCTTCATAACTACAGTGTCTTCTAAACAGAATCATCCCTACGATGGCTCTTCTCTATGTCCAGAGAACACTTTCAAACTGCAAATCTTATTGTTATGTTCTGCTTAAATTAAATATTCATCAATTCCTTTTTTCACTTGAAAGAAAAGAAATCATAGTTTTATACAGTATGGGACAAAAATCCCATCTCTCCCTTTCCACCTGACTCCCAGAACCACTCCCTATTTCCTGGTCCCAGCAAGTAGTCTGCTGTGCACTTAACACAACATGATGTTGTGTCTGTCTTCTCTACAAGCTGTTCCCTCTTCAAATCTGGGCTTTTGCTGTGTTCTCAGTCCACTTCACAGAGGCTTCAAAGTGACTGACACTGATCAGACGCATTCCCTGGTGTTCAGGTATCTTAACTAACTATACGTTTGCTCATTGTGTATTCTTTTTTCCCATAAGCTTACAGGCAGGTATTTCAAAATATATGTAATCTACCAATGACAACGAAGTGATGTGAACCTTTCAAAGACACAAACCTTATCTTTTTCCACTTTGTATCTCTAATTGCCAAATATAAATCAAGTCTCATTACATGTATTTTTAAATAAAGAATTTTCCTTCTAAAGTCAATGTTAAATGTATCTTTAATTGGCAAAATTTTAAAATAATTTGAATCTAAAAATCAAAGTGTCATATATTATTTTACTTAATATATGTCAGTATTTATCCTTTCAAGCTATGTATATTTTGCCTACCTTAAAACTCTTTTGACAAATTTGGAAAAGCAGTTGATGATCAGATACTCAGTTTGCCTTTCTATTAGAGTTTTCCAGGAACATTGTCTAAAATGGAGAAGCTCCTAAAGTGCTACTCTACCATTTCACTCATATGGTTAGCCAAGTGGCTGCAACTACTAAGCAACCGCAATCAAATTAGCCAAAATTAAAATATACACTAATAGGCACAGTGGGTAGCAAAGACAACTTTAAAAATCAAGTCAAATTCTGCTATTGCTTATATGTTTAAATATTAATATTTTGGATATATTAGGTGAAATACAATCATTACTGAAATTAATTTCAAGTTTTTCACTCTGTTTCAGAGGATTTTAGAAAAAATAAAATTAACTTGTTTTGCTCACATTGTATTTCTACTTCACAAACTATTCTATAACAACAAAACCCACTGTACAACTTTATGTCACTACTGCTGGGATCACATATTCTTGATGACAATCCTGTCTTGTTATGAGATTACTATTGATCATTACTAATTAAAAAAATCATTGTGATGTATCCAGAAGAATTTACTACCAATTATGTAAAAATAACATAAAACATACTAGGCAAATAAGTGAGGTTGATTACAACCTTCTCGGTCAAGGAGTAAATATACAAAGAAATCTAAAATAGTCTTTGGGAAGTCATGTGTAAGACAATGGGACTGGGCCAGTTTGGGAGTCATGTCAGAAGAAAGAAGGTTCAGATATCCATACAATTTCTTGCAAGCTAAAGAGACAAAAAGATAGAAGCAATGATCAAACAAGTAAATTTTTTCTTAAGTAGTTACAAAAGTAGAAGAGATAGACTGAGAGGCTAAAATCAAAAATGTTTAAGAGAGGTCAAGAATAAAATCCAGAGAATACACTACTTACTAAACTATACTGCTAATCAGTGAAAGTGAAGAATGCCTGAGGGTACACACAAAAGTAGAAAGCAAGATGCCTGCTGAGGCATAGGATGAGTAGGTTGAATGAAGAAGAAAAATGAAAGAAATTTTTTAAAAATGGAGGTCATTTCCTGACATTACAGCTGTGAAAAGAGAAAGGAAAAGTCTAAGACATAATCTCAACTCTTATACTTGCTCAATTTTGAGGTGATGCTACAGTTCAAGGAAGTGTAACATCACATGTAACAACAACAAAAAATACTGAAGAGCAACAAAGGCAAACAAACTGCTCTGTAGAATCACTTTAAGGACAACACAAGCATAGGCTCTTAATTTCATCAATGTGGTGACATCCATCATCTGTCAGTTTTCTTTTCTGGCAGGACACTGTTCAGGGTGATTTGCCCTAGCTATCATATTGAATTTCTATAAAGAGAAAGCAAATCATGGATATTATCAACAAGCTTGGACCACAGAACTGGTGAGTAGGTAACAAAGCTGAGGAAGTGGACAGAATTTAGGTAACAGAAAAGTAGCAGGCTTTGGTGTCAAGACATACAAAGACAATGCAGAAAAAAAAAAAGACTGCAATTAGAAGCGTATGTGAAATAAAAGGTGATAAAGTGAATGCAACAATGGTACTCGCTGGACAGTATGTTGAAAATGAACTATACAACTTGTGGGTGGAAGGATGGGAGGGAAAAACTGGGAGAGATTGAGGGAAGGGGTGACATTGTCCAAAAAGAAATTTACCCTTTACCTCACTTATGTAATGGTAACCTCTCTCTACATCACCTTTATAATAGCAATTAACATTTATTTTTGGAAGTGGTGCTGTGGCTCAAGTGGTAGAGCACTGGCCTTGAGCTGAAGAGCTGAGGGACAAGCGCCCAGGCCCAGAGTTCAAGCCCCACAACCGCCAAAAAAAAAAGGTATTCACAACATTTATTTTTAAAGAGAAAAAAAAGGAGGTGGGGGGAATGGCGATAATGCTACATGACGGCTAAGTCCACTGGGGAAGAAAGGGTAGAGTAAGAGACACAGCATACTTCCATGTTTGAACCCTGAAACGCTTCCCACTGCAGAGTGCAATGCAAATCCTGGTAGCTGTTCGTCCTCTTCTTGTAATCTCTACTATGCCCCTCGTAGGAGACCTTGACTAGCTGTGTGACTGTGAAATCACGCTAAACTCATTCTAAAGGTTTGGTGTAGTGATTGTCCCTCGGCCTCCAGTCTCCTTTCCTCTGAATTTGCATATCCAGCTCCTGGCCATTCAGCCTTGTCACTCCAGGATCTGGGAGTTTATCTGGTTTTACTCCTAAACGAATAAAGAATACAGTTTCTAGGGCCATGACTAGCAATTTACTTAGGATAAAGCTCCCTAAAATTGTTTTCTGATGAAAATCTTGACCTTGTTCACACATACTCTATTTGGTAAGATTTCTTCTGAGTAAGTAAGATCCATGTTCATGTAAAGCTTTTCTGTTTCTATAAGATGTGTCAATCTTACTCCATCACTACTGCTCTGCTTTTTGCCAGCAAGATAACATACACAACACAGTAAAAACTATTTTTCTCACATCTCTAACCAAAATTACCAGTTAGAATGACCTTTTGGTAAACAAATTAATATACACAGGCACCATGTTATGTGATATCCATTCGTTCCTGTCCGTTAATTTAACATTCAAAACACTGTAATTTAAGATCTCCCCATTGTAAAACAAGTACCTCATGCTACAATTCAACTAGCAGGAGATATTCACGAGCGACTGTATATAGGCTGCAGTACACACTATCTATAATATTCTCTACATTGCATCCTTGCATAAAGACAGGTGGTCAGAAAGCTGTATTGCTGAGACCGAATAGTTTAAGATCCCCAAGGAACGAACTTACTTAATTGGACATTGGTCTCAGATCACTGCTTAGGTATAAAAATTGCCTTAAGGATTTGCTACACTGCCAAGTAGCTACTGTAAGACCTTTTTTTCCCCTATTTCAACAAGTAGTGTCAACTTATCTTCTAGGTTGAATATCAAGTGGATGCTTGTTCCACATACTGCAAATCTGGTAAGGGCTCCCATTTCCTTCTGCTGATTACCGAAAGGGCTCGGGCCAAATTTGTGGGTTACAACTACAAAGTAAACATTTCTTTTGGATATCCTTCACATCATGATCTTTCTAATTACCCAATTTTTATCCAATGGCCAATTTTTTTTCTTAATTTTGTTTTATTGTATCCTATTGTTAATGTATTTTCCCAAGAACAATGCATAGTAACATTTCAGTATATCTTCTGAGCTTTAAGTTACCAGCATAAACCTTTCAACATTAGTATAATGACAACAAATCATCTCACAATTCATCATACAATTCATTATTCTCCGCAGTGATTTATGATCACTAATATATAACTGAGTTTACACTACTGAACACAGCCATCAATAAAAAAAACAGCAATGTGAATAATTCATAAAATTTCTAACATTAGAACTATATGAATATACAAGTTTACATTTTTATTTTGTTTAACATTGAGGTCTAATGCATGACTAAGTCTAGAAGACTAAAAAGTTCAGATTCTCTCTGTTTCGCTCTCTCTGTCTTTCTGTGTCTGTCTGTCTCTGTTTCTCTCTCTGTCTCTGTCTGTCTGTCTGTCTGTCTGTCT